CCTCGCGATCCCGCGGTCCCGATCCCACGGGATTTGAAACGGTTGGTTCGAACCGAGTCAAGAGCAAGCGCAAGATCGAAGGATCTATCCGATCGTCATTTAAACATACCTCCGGACAGATCGTGCGATGATTGCGGCTCGGAAATTGATTGTCTCGAACTTTTGCCAATTTATTTCCTAATATTTTTGATAGATATGTTGGTTAACGTGATGAATTTTTATCCTAAATTGCGAACGGTCGAGCTTCATGTATCTTTAAATTTGCGCGAATCGTGTGCTTTGCCTTATAGAAATATATATCGGAGTAAGAAATATAAAGATATATTCGGCGTGATATTTCGGCGTGATATTTTTTCATCCAATTTCACGGGATTTACTCCTGCGTTTTTTCTCTGATTTATGCGACGAAGTTTCGCCGAAATTTATTTTGTCTTTCGTAAAACGGAGTATAATAAACGGATTATTTTTTCTTTTTTCTTTTCCCCATGTTTGAGAACTTTCTTTCTACAAAAAAGGGTCTTCGTCTGGCAAGAATATCGCGCAATATTTTTTTATCAAAATATATTCTTCATTTCTTGCCATTCTTTCTTCATCAAATCTCTTTCGTGCGATATTTCTTCATCACTTGGATCTTTGCTCTTGCGAAGATTCTTCGTTATTTTTATCGATTTACAACGAAGTTTTTGACACGTCAATCAGAGCTAATTCATTATTAATGCTACATAAATTAATCAAAGTCCATTCAGATGATCACACGGTGTCGATAAAAAAATCTGAAATTACACATTTACAGAAAATGCTAAACAACAGGAAGTAGAAAGACTCCTATTTGAGATCAAAAAACTATACAAACGAGTTATAACTCTTAAAGTAATTTCTTAATATTTCTTTATTATTTAAATAATGAATTTAATATTGAGAATTTTTTGTAAGGTAAATATTCAGTATCTTTTTTTTTTTTTAATATTTTATTTAAGTCATGATTGATTCAGATTTTTAGTCGACACTATGTATTAGAGGATAGAATAAAGTATTTCTTCAAGTAACCGGATGATCTTGAGAACGATCTCGAATATTTCGAATATGAAAGTAATGCCCAAACGTGTATCGAAGAAAATCTTGCCGTCGTATCAATAAAAATCGCGTGTGCGTGCCTATCAATGTAAGCTGATTGGCGGATCATAATCATAAGCGCTAGTGAAACCGCTATTGAAACCGATAAAAATTTCAATAAGTTTTATATTTTCACTCTCATGGCCCCATCTTTCATAATGGCTGTTGTATCCAAGCAAAAATTTTATCGTCTCAGTGAATCAAAGTTATTTCCTGTGTGTTTGTGTGTGTTAAATTATGTTCAATATAAAAAAAAATATTTTCTATGACTCTTCAAAAGCCACAGTTTTTAATCAAAATCTAATTTTGGAAACTGAAATAGAAACAGTAGCAATTTAAAGAAATTGCATTTGATAAACAC